TCAATATGAATAGACTCAATAATAGAATTGTTTTGGCTTTGCAAACAAAAAACAAAGAGCTAAGAAGTCTGGCTTCACAAATACATATTAAAATTGATTGACTTCCAGCAAAAGCCGCAAAAATGATGAATTGAAACTGAAAAATCAATATTTAATCTGGGTTTATAAAAAGTGTCATAATTGAATAAACTGAATTTCATGAAGTAAAGTCCTTATTTGAAACATTTGACAACTGAAAATAATAGATAAAAATATTATTATGTACACAAAGTTTGTGACAAAGAAATTGTAATGTTTGTCATTAGTTTGTAATGAGAGAAGTTACTTTGTAACAGATGCAGTTGTTCAAGAATTGTGACAAAGAGGTTGAGAACTTTAAAAAGAAACATATTTCAACATGTGGAGGAATTTTATACATATGCCTTCATTTCATATTATATATATATATATATATATATTAAAGACATTTTTATGTTTAACATTCTTTTTATATAGATACAAGTATTTAAGTAAATGCTCTGTTTATAATAAACTTAAATACTTGTATCTATTAAAAGAATGTTAAACATAAAAATGTCTTTAATAAATTGTCGGACTTTTGTCCATTTATATATATATATATATATATATATATATATATATATACTTTTATTTCTTATGACTCTAAATGTTATTTTCAGTGGGTATACATATCTATTTGAGTTGCTATCCTAAAAATAACATTTATAGTAATAAATTATATAAAATATAAAATATAGTATACATTTATAGTAATAAGAAATAAAGTAAAAAAAAATCCATTCAAAAATATACTAAAGGACAAATAGTTCACAAAAAGAAAAGAAAATTATATTTACATGAGGTTGTGCTCATAAAAGAAAGAAAAACATTTATAGGCTTAGCTGTAGGATGTGTTTCATTTCCACATTGTTTGTTTGAAATTATGTGGTCAATTTGCCAGGCAACTAAGAAGGGAAAGCTTGACAAATCTGCTACATAATGCATCCTGTTTCTGAGTTAGCAAAAATGGAAAAGAGAGATTGAGTCCTTTCTTTTTATACAACTGAATGCCATGCCATCTAGTGGGCATCCTAGCAAAGTGGAGTAATCTTCACAAGTTAAAGGCAGTAAAATTATTGTGTACATTTGTTATAGTGGAACACACCTATTCTATAGTTAATAGACTCTCACCTATAATAAGTAGGAGTAGTAAGAGTAACAGGGAGTCGCTCAGTGGGTCGGTCAGTTCAGTCGATGCCGGACGACCGTTAGTCGGATACTAAATTATCAGCAACCACAAGATTTCTCTGCATCATTACCTATTATATCAAGTTCCTAACGTTTTGTACGTCGAACCTATTTTAGGACCGACTTAGTACAAATACAAGCCTCCACTGTGAAACCACTCCACAACAACATTGCTCACAAACAAATCATATGCAGTTCATTTCTTAGAGTGTACCAACCTGTGAAGCTTGAGATTCTTGAACTGTGATCCTTGTATTGTGTCTTTCTTTATTTGGGCCAGAAACCTGAGGGTAAGCAGATTGTGTCAGGTTTAATTCATCTGTCCTAACGTCCTGAAGATGAGGCCTTGGAGCAAATAAATCTGGTTGAAGATCTTTGAAATTGTCAGTCTTTGAATTATTTTGAGATTCCTTGCTTACTGCAGAGTTAATCACAGAAGAGGCAGAGTCATCGGTTGTATCCTGGACTAAAATAAAGAGGTAACAAGCTGAGATTTTTTATATACAAAAATAGAAATGGTTGTAAAACAAGGATGTTGTCTCAATGGACTTATTCAACCTATACATTGAGGTGATTCTAAGAGAATTAGAAGTCCTACCAGGATTCCTTATTGGTGGCCATGACAAAAGATATGCAGATGACACAGTGTTGATAGCAGACATGGAAAGGAAACTGCAAGAACTCCTACAGAAGGTAGTGAGGGAAAGTGAGAAGAAAGTACTAAACATTACAAGACAGAATGCAAGGTTGGTAGCAAAAAGGAGCAGTCCAACATGCAAATTATAAATTGGAGATACAAAAATAAAACAAGTATAACAATTTAAATATCTGGGAAGTATTTTAGCAGAGACTGGAAAGTGCAACACCAAAATTCAAAGGTGCACTAGGATTGTGAAAGTTGCCTTTCAAAAGCTAAGCAAAATATTAAGAAACAGGAAAATTTCATTAGAAACAAAGAAAAGAGTACTGAATTGCTATGTAATATCAGTGAATGCTGGACAATCTCCTCAAAGGTGAAGAACAGACTTGAAGCAATAGAAATGTGATTCTACAAAAGAATGCTGAGAATACCATAGACTGAACATGTGTGCAACAAGTTTTAGAGAAAAATGGAAATGAAAATGACAAATATTTAACATCAGGAAGAGACATTTGAAAATTCTTGGATACATAATGAGGAAACAGGGCTTGGAAAATTTGATACTCACAGGACAGATTGAAGCAAGAGGGATAAAGGAAAGCAATGTATAATATACTTAGTGAGCTTGAGTAAATGGATGGCAAAACAGGGTTTAGGAAAGATAAAAAAGATAAAATTTTTTAAAGCTACAAAGGACAGGAAATTGTGGAGAGCCCAAGACCATCAACATCCTGAAGGGAAATGGCACATAGAAGAATAATTATGGATATAAATCTGAAGACACATCAGAATAGCAAAAGGTGCCTTCCAGAAACTAAGCAAAGTATTAAGATATAGGAAAATGTTGTTAGAAACAAAAGAGGGTTGAACTACAATATATCTAAATCTTCTAATATGATAGGGAATGCTGGATAATTTCATCATGAATGAAAAAGAGAGTTGAAGCAAAAGATATGTGGTCCTACTGAGGAATTTTAATAATACAATAGACTGAAAATGTGAATATCAGGGAAGTTTTAAGGAAAATAAGAATGATAAAGAAATTTATAAAAACTTAAAAAGACAGCAGAAATTTCTGGGAGAGAAAAAGGCCAAGAGAATTTAACACTTACATATTGAAGGCAAGAGAAGCAGGAATATAGAAACAGTGAATAACCTACTTAATGAATTTAGATGATAGAATAGGGACAAAGAAGGATGTTAAAGAGTCAAAAATTCCTTAAAAAAGCGACAAAAGACAGGAACTTGTGGAGAGCCATAACTAACCACATCCAGAAGGGACTTGTCTTATATTAGAGGAAAAAAATCATGCTCACAAAATCTTTCATATCACACATAAACACACACAAAAAGTAATGACTGTAAGTAAGTCCACCATTCATCCTGGCTTTGAATATTGCTGTCATAACTGGTCTGGTGCTCCTGCTATATATTTAGAGATTCTTGATAAAATCCAAAAAAGAATCTGCAATGTTATTAGTCCTAACCTGGCATCTCAGCTCTTCAGTCACTTTCTCACTAATGTAATGTAACTGCCCTTGCCTTTTCTATAAATACTTTCATGGTAAGTGTTGTGATGAATTTTTCTTTTTGGTACCTAGATTTTATAAATTTAAGTACAGTACTAGATAGGCAGCAGGGTCTCATCATTTTACAGTTGAAATGGCTAGATGTAACCCTAAGTTTTATGCTAATAGTTTTTTCTATTGCACTTCTCACCTTCAGCTTCTTGCTTCCCAGTTAAGTTTGATCTTCAAAAAATGAAATGCAATATCAATTGTTATCTTCTTAATTCCTGTTCTTTTAATTGTTCTCTCTCCTTAATAGTGTTTTTTTTCTTATATTCTCTAACACTTAGTAACTCCTTGCATCTTAATGGATTTCTTACCTTGCTTGGATTGAAATTATTAAAAAAAATAGAAGAGGAAAAGAAAGAGGATTTATCCATTTACATTATTCGGACTGTTTTCTTCATCTTCATTGCCATGTACACAACGTTTCAGCTGTTGTATGCTCTGGCCTTCTTCAGGTGATTGGAATTTTGAACCCTTTATTTCATTCACTGGGGTAGATTGTTCTAGTTCCATGTGCCATGCTTCTTTTGGATGTTTCAGTTATTTCCCTTTAACTCAACTCTCCAACTTTTTTAGCCTGGCATTGAACTCACAACTCTTTGGGTTTATTCACTGGATCTATCCAATGCCTTTATCCACTGGGCTATGTGTGGATAAACTATTAGCATATATCACCTGTCTTAGATTGCAATAAGTTGATATTTAAGTCAATGACAAATTATAATTATTTACAGGTAGATTAATGTCCTCATCTTTATTGTTATTATTACAATGTTTTGGCCATTATGCCATTTGACCTTCTTCAAGTGTCTATTGATCCAAACCACCTTCAGAGAAATTTGAACTGACACTTTATTTAATCTACTGGGATGGGGTACATTATTTCTATCCCACTGTGCATGCCTTGGAATATATAATTATTTTTTTTTTTAGTACATCTCATTTATTCTTAATCCTGTTTCCATTGAATCTGAGTTTGTACTACCCTGCCTTGGGATCGAACTCACAATTACTATAACACTGAATTCATGAACCAATGCTTTAATCCACAAGGCTATTGTCTTGAGCTCAAGTAGTAAACACATTGGAAACAGGATGAGCAATAATTGAGTAGTACTAAAAAGAATGAGATGAGATATCCCTAGACATGAACAATGGAACAAGAACAAGCTACTCCAAAGATTGAATAAAGGGTTCTGTTCAAAATTCCCTGAAGGTTAATCAGATCAATAGACACCTGACCGAAATGTGATAATAACAAAGACAAGAACATTAGTCTATAAATAATGCAAAAAAAAAAAAAATTCTATAGAGAATTTGCAAGACAAATAAGTGTCACAGACAACAAAAGCTCTGGATTTCATTATACAGAGGACATTTAGTATATGTCAAGGTAAAAATTAGGTAAAATAAAAAAAAAGTAGCAGATGTTGCCATTGTAGCAAAAAAGACCAGACTGTAAACAATATTGTAAGTGACAGAAACAAACTGGCCCAAATTAAATATGAGTACAGACATGACAGAGTAAGAACAATAAAAACACTGAAAATTGTGCAAATGGCTTAGATTCAACCATGTCAACAAATAATCTGAGCACAAATCAAAGGTATCCAAGAAAAAAGTTTGTGATTCAGGACAGAAAATTGTATCTCATTATGATCAAAGAAAACATTGTCACACCAGGAACATGGATTTTCCAGCAAACCAAAATAAAAGAAATGGGAAAAAATAGAAAATTACTAGGCACTGACCTGGGAGTTGAAGGAATAGTGGGACAGCCAAAAGATTATGAAACAGCAAAACTTGAACGTGAATCCATAAATATATAACTTAGTATATTGAAAACAAGATTATAGTTGTCTTTTCCTGTCATGGGAATATTTCCCCTTCTATTCCTTTGTTGAATTGGGATTCTCCCAGTTTTTGTTCACACTGATGCAAATGGAAATTGAAGCATGGCATGGAGAGAGAAGCTGACTAGTCGATGAAAAACTGTCTGAGGGGCCCAGTCGTATGTTCACAGTCTTCAATAGTTTAAAGATCTCTGAATTTTATTAAAGAGTTTTAATCATTGTATGTTGTTTAATCATTTTTGTCTGTGTACCCTGAGACCTTATCAGACACTGAAAAAGGCTGAAAGGATACATGGCTGAAGCTTTATGAGAAAAGAAAACCACAATGAAGAGTAAATTGGTTCAAACTGATCATATACAGGGTGCGATGGATAAATTGTCGTGTAAATTATGCAACAATGAAAATAACACTGACATCTCATTTTAACAGATATATTTACTGAAATGACACAAAAATATTTTAAAATACTAAAGAGTAAATTTATTCAATAAAATCACAATTGGTTCAATCACGACATGCAAATGACTTTGGCATATCCTGCAACTCTTCTGTGTAGTCTCTTTGTCTAAGTTGGCAAATGCTGTCATAATCCTTGACTTCAGTTCATTTTTGGTGTTACAAGAAGTTTTATTGGTCTCTCACTCAACTGTGCCACACATTATTATATATAGGGTTTTGCAATCTGGGGAGTTAGGTAGCCAGATGTAAAGGGTGATATGGTTTGACAGCCATAACTGGGTTCTCCTGCTTGTGTGGCATGGTGCAGTGTCTTGTTGCCAGCAGCCACCCACTTGACCCAGGATAGCACTACCTCCTCAAGGCACTTGATATAGGCCTTCATGTTCAGTGTGGGAAGATGAATGGAGGTATAACACCTTTGTAATCACCATTAGACTCATCCAACTTTTTCTGAATCCTCTGCAGATTGACACCCAAATACTCTGAAATGTTCATACTGAAGCTTCCAGCATGAATGCCAAGCAGTACAGAATGCCATTTAAAAATTTCTGGTGGAGTGAATTATGTCATGGTGCTCTTTTTCTTGCAGATGGTGGTCAACTGGCTCTACTATACTGTGCAGTTGAAAAAATCAAAAACAGACACAAAGTGCATGGGTGTCATTAAAATTATAAAATGGCAACAATTCACTCTCTACATAATTTATAAGCTTCAAATAAAAAAAATTCTCCATATAAAAGACAGTGTCTGTTGCTCTGTGATATACAAAACATGTCACTCTATTGTTTTTAGTTAACTTTGACAATCCAACTAAATTAAGCATTTCACTATTCAGGACTTTTAAAAATAAGTTAGTTACTTTGACTACTGTTAATAATAAGAAAGTCAATTCAAAATTTAGTAGTGCTAGGCTTTCAAAAATATCCCAATTCACTACTTGCAGCTAAATGAGGCAACCCTACTCGTTACCTACATGTAATGAAAGCCGCTTTGAGTGTTGCATAGAATGGTTGAATTATGGAAGACCAAAACTGACAAAACATTATATTATCCACAATGACAAAAGCATATTAACAAGCACCATCATTTAATGATCAACACTATTGACAATAATAAAATCAACATACAGTGAATCCTTTTAGAATCCAGAAGATTTGTTGATTGTGAAGTCTCTGTGCATAGTGGTGAAATGTCTTCCTTAAGCACTCCAGAATCCATCACCTAAGAAGGAAAAATATAACGTAAACAAACCCAGTCCGATGAAGTCCTAATGGATGAACAGTGCCACAAACCTTTTCCAATATGTCATACATCTTTTCTTTCAAAAGTGTTCTTGATATATAAAAATTTATATAAAATTTATATATCGTTATATATATATATATATATATATATATATATATTTTATGGTAAAATGCTATATATTTACTGGTTACTTTAATCAGTAAATATAGCATACCTTAAAACCATATTTTATACTCAATATCAGGGATAGAGTGTATGTAAATATAAAAGTGGACATTGAAGTCAACACACAGAGGTGACAGTTTAAATTCAATCATCAGATCATGTGTGTTGTGCTTTTGCTAAACTTTTTATATATACAGATCAGTGATGCATTGTAGGTAGTCTATTGTATTATTCTAACAGTGATTTTGGTGGACGTAGTTTGTTAATGTGTTTATTATTTTCTTAGTTTATTTATTTGTTTGTTTGGGTTAATTTAATTTTCTTGTTTTTTATTTATTTTATTTATTTCCAGTTTTTGATTTTCAAGTAACATAGTAAAAATTTGTTTTCATGTCTGCATTTCAAGATGAGTTCTGATTGTTTATTCAGTAATTTGTTTTGATCTGGGAAGGTAATTATAGATATTTTTTCTTCTACTCAGAGTTTACAGTTCTTTGATTGATTGTTGTAGGCTGATGTTGTTTTCCTTATTTTCCATGATATTTTTAATGTGATTTGTTTTCTGTTTTTAATCTCCCAGATATGTTTAGAAAGCACTGTGCTGTTTGTATATTTACTATTTGTAAAGAATGTTTTGTGTGCATAGTTTTCCAGGGTCCTTCAGTTACTCCTGTGTATATTTTCTGCAAGCAATTGCCGTTTAAGGGACATTCATTCTTTATTCTGCAGTTACACATGGTTCAAGTGGTTTGTTGATTGTTTTCTTGTTGTGTTTTTAATTATTTGTGTCATGTTCTCTGTACAACTGTAGCTGATTTTTACTGTGTTTTTGTTGAATATCTTATGGAGAGTGCTTGATGCAGGGAAATGTTTGCGTATGAGTTTAATGAATACATTTTCTACATTTGTTTTTTATGTTTGTGTTGTACGGTGGGTTGAACCATACTATGTTTCTCTTCCTGTTGGCTTTTTGTGCTGTGTGGTGTGTATGTGAGTGTTGCTAGGAATCCACTATCTTTTAGGATTCTTTCATTGTCTTTTTTAACTTCGTTGAATATGGCTTCACTGGAAGAATTGTTGGAAAGTCAATTAATTGTTAATTGATTGTGGTATCTGCTTGAATATAGATGGCAGGTGGTTGGGAGATCTGTGTATATACAGTGGTTTGCCATTAGGTTTTCTGTATAGTTTATTTAATTTAGGTTAGCTTTTATATCTATGTTAATTTCCATATTTTTGAAAATCTTTATGATTGTTTTTCTAGTTTTGTTTATGTTTTGTTTGTTACAGTTTCTTAAGATTGTTGTTGGGTTTTCAGGAATGACAGTCACATAATCTTAAGAAACTGTAAATGTGTTTTGTTTGTTACAGTTTCATGATACCTCATATTATTAAAAAATATTTCTGATAAGTTTTAAGGTAACACAAACTTATTACTATATAAATATAACCTTTAATAATGTAAGTATACAAATGTAACAACTATTATGGGATGTGGTAGTACTTTTTATTAAATTTTATTTATATATTAATTATTTATGTGATTTATGCTATCATGGGTAGGATTTATTAAACAAATATATCAAAACTAAAGAATATAGAAAAAAATCAACATTTTCATTATACATGTTTTGGTGAACAGACATATCATTCAGAAAGATTCTCAGTTAATATTTATGTTCTTTTAGCAAAATATTAACTTTGGTGATGTGTGTAGAAGGTAGAAAGAACAGATTTTGTGTCCCTCACAGAAGAATTTGGAATAGATCATTCTAGGTTAATCTTATTCTGGATAGAGAAAGGTGAAAGAGATTCCCAGGGCAATGAGCAGAAATGATCAAAATGAGAATAGAACTTAAAAATGGAATTTGATGATTATCCAATTAATTTTTCTTTAATTTTTCAGCTAAAATGTCCTTTTACCAAGTTTTAGCATTCAAACTGTATGTGGCACATTGAAAATCAGTAGCAAAGAAATTATTATCAGGTAGAAATTAATGGGAATATGCCTGACAGAAGAGGTCTCTCTCTCTCTCTCTCTATATATATATATATATATATATACCTGAATTTTGATCTCTTCAATTGGAGAATTTGTTCTTGATGACTGAGATGACTGGCTCTGCACTGGTGAGGTATTAAGCATAGGATAATCCATTTCACAGAATGTATCTGAAAACAATCCAAAGAAAATTATTTGGAATAAAAAAAGGAAATAAGAGTCCCATACGCATTACCTGTGTGCATGAAGATAATCAGACAAAATGCAAAAGCTGCAAAAGATGTGTTTCACTGAAAGAATGTCTGCTGTGTTCATCTACATCAGGTTAGAATGAAAAACAAAATTATATGTAAGAATTGAGATCTCTGAGGATAAGAAGTTGCCATAAATCAAATTACCTTATCATATCTGATGACCAGGAACTAGAAATTGTTTGTCTGCCTGTTCATTTGCTTGTTATATATATATATATATATATATATATATATATATATATATATATACATACACACACAGAGGATGCGATGGATAAATTGTCATCTAAATTACACTAAAATGAAAATAATACTGACATCTCATTTTAACAGATATATTTATGAAGATTACACAAAAATATCTTGAAATACTAAATTTATTCAATAAAATCACAATTGGCTTCAACCGTGACCACCTGATGACTTCAGCATCTCCTGTAACTCTTCTGGATGGTCTCCTTGTTTAAGTTGGTGAATGCTTCCATAATCCTTACCTTCAGTTTATTGGTCTCCCACACATACTAATGCAGTCTGGGGATTTAGGTGGCTAGATGTAAAGATTGAGATAATATCACAGAAATTGTCTGACTGGGTTCTCCTGCTTGTGTGGTATGATATAGAGTCCTGTTGTCAGACATAGGGTCTTCCAGCAGCCACCCACTTGACTCATGGTAGCACTAACTCCTCAAGGTTCTTGATGAAGGCTTCTGTCTGAGGCCCTATGAGAAGATGAATGGAGGCATAATGTCACCATCACTAGTCATCATCATCATTCGATCATTGGGATCATCGAGCCAATGCCAACAATCCTTTCTTTAGCTGTATTAGCCGAATATATAGATTTTTATAGCAATATATATTCTGAAACTACATCACATTGGATAAATATATTACACTGAAAATTCCTTCCTCTTTGATATAAATAAAATTTAAATTTGAACAAGGGAATGACTCTGAGAGTACTTGTATAGGTATATTTCATTTTGATCAAAGGGGGTCCTTGGGCCCCCTCCACTAAAAATTTTTTTCCTTTGATTTAAATTATATTTAAATTTGAACAAGGGAATAACACCTATCCAAAATAGAGAAGGAAAAAACCAGAAAATGGAGGTCACATCGGCGGGATCAAAATGAGACAATAAGGACATCAAGTTGATCAGGAAATCAGTTAATAGTGCCTTAAAATACATATTTGTTGTGACAAATCAACAAGTATATGAATGTGGAAATCTGCTCATCAATTCATTCATATATATATATATATATATATATATATATATATATATATATATATATATTTGGGAATAGGATTTTCATTTATTAATCAGACAATAAAATATATATTACTAATATATGTATATGTATGTATATATATATATATATATATATATATATATATATATAGTATATATATATATATATATATATATATATATATATATATATATATATATATATATATATAAACATTATATTTATATATATCCATATTTGAGTAGATGCTGTGTTTATATATATATAAATGTACTATATTTATTTATTATATATATATATGCCCTATATATATATATATATATAGAATATATATATTTTCTAATATATTTATCGAATATTCAGACAGGTAGATAATAAATAAATATAGTGTTTATTAAACATTAACAAATCATCTAGTCTAAAATATGGCTATTTCTCGAATATTCAGACAAAAAATAAAATGTTTAATAAGTCAAAAAATAAAAATATAAGTAAGAAAATATATATACATATATATATATATAATGATACAAATATATATTCACGCACACATTGATATGGTTTTCAAAGTAAGTAAAATAGGATAAATACTTACCAATTTTTTCAGTGTGGGAAAGAAATGAGGTGGAACTCCAAGATTCTGAGAGATTTTCTCTGGGAGACAAGTACACTTCTGTTGGGGCACCTCTTAGATTTTCTTCTAAGAATTCCAGTTTTCCAATTTGCACTTCCACTTTGCTAGTATCCTGAATAAGTGCAATGGTAAATATTTTATGATGTAATGAAACTTTACTCTTGAATAAGCAAATCTTCTTAAAGATTGATTAGAGGAAGATTGTGTAGTGCCAGTCATCTGAATGAGAAATACCAACCCATCTTTAAAATCACACAGCAGAGAGAAAGAGAAATTTTAAGATTTTTACTATATGAAAGACGTCAGTGGCTAGGAGAACTCAATTCTAATTGAAAAGCATTGCATTAGCAGCAGCAGCCACTATTTATAAAATTACCCCATCCTTCCTGAGAGCTCAATCAAATTATTTTGAGAGAATATATATATATATATATATATATATATATATATATTATGTATTTAATCAGCAATCCCTCTTTTATAGATGTTTCATTAAAGATGACTGACAAGGTACTGCGATTTAGCTTTTTATTCTGTGAGCACAACCACAATGTGCTCACCATGTTTGGGAAATAAAATATCCCTATAACTCTAGATATATACTAAGTAAGATTATCCTTTATAATGGCTAAAAGTATAGCTGAAAATGCTCGGAAATACAAAACTTTTGGAAATTTTTTACACATTTTGCTTCCAGAAAAGAAAACACTTGTACAATCACAAGAAAACTTAAATATAAGGTTTAATTGCAGTACCTTGTTAGTAGTCCTTAATGAAACGTGTGTGTGTGTGTGTGTATATATATATATATATATATATATATATATATATATACACACACATACACTAAAATTAAAAAGAAATTTAAAGAAAAGAAGGACACCATGTAACCCGTTACATATTAATAGATGCTTAAATGGTTAAAGTGGGATAATAAGTATTTAACCTAAAATATTTAAGGGTCAGTAGGAGTTGAGTAAAAAGATTTATCCAGAATCAAAATACTTTTGAAGAGAGCTTTTTATGGGTGCAAGCTATCATGAGCTCATTATGTTTGTCCAGCAGACTGGGGTCATAAATAAAAATATTTATGAATCTTTTTTCCAGCAAACACAGGTTACATCTGTTGCTGTGGCCAGAAAAGGAGGTAGTTTTGGATGATTTGTTTTATTTTCCCAGTAAAATTTTGGGAGTGCCGTGGCATTTGAATATTGTTTATTGGTAAGAGTCATTGTATGATAGTAATACTGGGTTTTCCAGTGGTTTTCAGTGGAACCACAATAAAACTTGGTTTTACAATTATGTTTAATGCTGGCTTTGTAAACAATGCCTTCATTCATCTTACTTATTATAAAACGCAGATTGTGTGTATGTGTGTGTGTGTCTGTACGTTTATATATTGGATTGGATTTCCTACATTTTTCAAACGATTTTGACAAAACTTTACAGGACTACGTAAAATTACCTTGCGGTGGTTCTGACAGCGCCCAAAATTGGAAAAACACAATTGTTTTTGCACAAAATCAATTTGAAAACACGATTAAGAGGCATCACGAGAATGAAAGGGGGACAACTCATATCGAGTTATACTTATTATAAAACCCAGGTTGTTTGTGTGTGTGTGTGTTCATTTATATATGGGATCGGATTTCCTACATTTTTCAACTGATTTCAACAAAACTTCACTTTTTTTTGGCAGGTAGTGTTTCTTATTGTCTTGCACACTTTTTTCTTTATTTTTACATTCAGAATGCTTTAAAAATTCCATTTACAAGACAATTGTTTATAATAAAAGTCTATTCAATTGGTAGACTCATAACGATTGAAAACAATGTTTTTGTTTGAGTTTGACCAATTCGTAAAAAAAAAACAAAAACTAATTAAGACGTGTGTTCGTCAACCTTAAACAATAATCTTTGTCAATTTTATTTTTCAGTCTTTATGATGGTCGATACTTGATCTATCTCTTACTGTTACATCCCCGGGCAACTGTTTTTTCAACGGTTACACTTTTTGTCTGTATTAATATTGTTATTGAGGTTGTTTGAATATTTGTTCAATGTTATATTATTATGTTGTGCTATATACTGTTTGAGGTTTTTGATGCAGCTTTAACTAATCTTAATGTTGTTCTTGTTGAAGATTTTGTTGAGCAATGGTCTGACAGATGAGCTTGGTGCCCAGGTTGGAATGCCTCACTAATGATGAAGCATCATTTACCTGGTGATACAAAAGGCCCTCTTAGTCGGCAAAAGACTTTGTTTGGTGCACTTGGAAAATTCTCCAAACTGTATTCACTGCGGTGAATCAGTAGAGACCTTGGGTCACATCTTCTTCCACTGCAGGGTTGTAGTCCTGTTGTGCAGGTTTAATGAAGACATCGTGATTTGCATGCTGCATAGAAAGTTCTTTGTCTTCAAAGCCAGAAAAGACAACCCAAACTTTTCTATAGTGATGGGAACATTCAATTCTACAGAAGCTTGTGAATTGGTTGGCATTTTGCTACTGTGAAGACTTAGGTATACTTTCGATAACATGATCTGTACAGAGACAATGGAGTTATCCTCCTATATAACACTAAACCACAACAAACAGATCAACTTAGAAAGCATGTTATCAAATTCTTCAAGGATCATGGACTAAATATCACCACTAACATCAACACCAAGGTGATCAACTTTCTGGACACTACTTTTGACCTCCCCAAAGGAATATACATGCCTTATACTAAAGAGTTTTATAATCATAAATACATTAGCAAAGAATCTAACCACCCACCAGGAATTTTAAACAACTTGCACAAATTAGTGCAATACAGACTCTCAACTAACTCTAGTAACAAAATTACTTTTGACAAATATAAAACTAAATATGTAGTACTAGAAAAAAGTAAACACAAAGTTAAACTAGAATACATAAATATTAGTAAGAATGCTAACAATAAACATAAGAATAGAAAACACAATATTATTTGGTTTAACCCACCATTTAACAAAATGTCAAATCCAATATAAGTAAAAATTTTTCTTAACTTAAAAAGGAGAACGACACCCTTACTAAACTCGTTAGAGTGGTATACAGGAGTGGAAGCATGGAGAGTCAGTAAAGAATCGGGTAGATGTGTGAGGCACATATTTTAGCCATTCCCTTTAAGGAAAGACTCCTCTAGGACCACTGACAAGCTGAGACCTCAGCCTTCTCCTGTACCTCTGACCAATTCATTTCCAAGAGATCAGGACTAAACCAGATGTCAAGTATCTTGACCGGCCCATCCATCCAGAGAAAAGGCCTAAGAAGAGAAATTCCCTTTCAATGCCCAACCAAAAGCCAACAGACTTATCATGGTTGATTTCTTTGCCAACTTTGTCAATCTTGGCTCTGCTCAGCACAAGAACTGAAACGTCGTCAGCATAGATGGAGTACCATGGCAGAAAGTTCATCAGAACAATAATCATGAAAATATTTATAGAAAAGGCACAAAGAAACTATGCTATGTCAGTGGGAAACTAACTGAAGCTGTGATGCTAGGTCACAATTAATTTGATTAACTTAAAAACTTAATTAATGATTAATTTAATTAACTTAAATGTTGTTTGTGTGAAAGTGGATTGAAAGAGTTAAAATATTAACAAAAAGCAGCATTTAAGTTTTTAATAGTAATTAACAGAAACCTGATAGATACAAATTTATTATGGAGATTGTTTTTAATGTAGTAGAGATCATTCTAGAAACTGGTCTATTGAAGGCTGTTTAAAGTTTTATATAAGGATTTTTTAAAAACTATTTTTCTTACATGATCAATCTATACCTCATGACGACAAATACGCATAATTTAATTGAGAAAGATGAGTTAATTAAAATTAGAGTTATCATTGGTCACAAGTCTTTGTATATAATCATGTATAATTAAAATGATTTGCATTCCACTCATAAGATTCAATGTAATGATCCTACAACAATTAAGAATTGGAGTTGATTATATGTAGTGAACCTCTTTTTTTGCTTTTCGGTCAGGAAGTTGCATAGTCTCATGACTTCTCATATGAGATAAATGCTTAGGAAACTAGAGTTTAATTTTCACCCAACATCGAGGTGGTGTCAGGGTGGTATAGTGGTTATAAGCTGAAAAATGGAATTAGCAAACTCAGTAGAAATTTCAGTTAAAACTATTTATGTTCAATTCATACTAGTTCCCATGTGAGAGGCATGAATCCACTTTTCCCTGTGCTCTGTTTCAACACCAGATATTTGACAAAATCAACCAACCAAAATCTCTTGTCAGTGTTATGCTACATTGATTGATGGATAAAACAAAATTGGTCAAAGCACTCTCCAATAGTAGCAATAAAAAGCTGTTACTACACTAGTGACCATTGACTGGAACCAATAAGAAATAGAAGACTCTGAGAGTAGAATTTAATGATTTGTCCAATCAGTAAGTTCACAATATATTGAGACCAGAATGTCAGCTTTGCATATAAAATTGTATAAATTGTAGATGAAACTTATATATGAAATTGTAGATGAAATTTGCATATGATATTTGATATGGTTAGAGTCTATATGTAGATTATTGTAAATATCTAAGACATATGTTCCATGGGAATGTCCTGAGTATGATAATAAACTACATCTGACAGTAAGGACTCTGATAGGGAGATTGGAGGTTTTGAGGAGTGTGGAACCACCTCTTAATTGCTGTTGTTCCCAGGTCCTAACCTGGGGTGGTAGCACCTCTTAGGGTCCCAGTTATGGGCAAATAGTGAACCCATAAACAAAAACAAAACACTATAAAAGTATAAAAATACATTTTTATATAAAAAATACCAACACTACATATTTATAGTAAAATTACCAACAATACATTTTTATAGCAAAATGACGAACAATACATTCTATCTGTAGTTGAAGGCATACAATTGTATTCAAAATATTTAGATTACAGCATTAAATAATGCATAGAGGTTGCTAAACAAAATCAACCAACCAAATGCTCCATGGGACAATAACTGAGTGAATTTGGAGACATAGTATTTGTGAGTTCAATCCATGGGCCAGGCAATGTATACTTAGTGGAAATGAGGCAAGCAATAACTAAGTAGTAATAAGAAGTACATAACATATCCCTAGACATGGTCAGTAGAATGAGAAGAATCTACTCTGTAAATTAAATAAAGGGTTCAGTTTGAAAATTCCTGAAGATTACTTGAATCAAACAGCACCTGAGAAAAGTTGGTGAGCACAGTGGCTGAAACATTATGATAGTTACAACAAAGATGAGGATAATAGTCTGAGTGTAAAAAAAAAAAATGTAAATAATGATAATTCTTCATCCCATAGATTCAAACACAAAATATAAGACAATTTAGAAAATTTCTATTTTGACATATTTTCATCAATGAACTGGCATCATCAGAAAAAATAATTTTATTTAATTTTATATCTAGATTATTTGGTTATGGCTTATACAAGGTGCATTCAAAAAGTATTCAACCTTTGGGCATAAAATAATCAATTTTGTACATTTCACAAATTTTATTTAATTATCTTCAAAATACTCCCCTTGGGAGTTCATACACTTCACCCAGCAGTTCTGCCACTGCTGGTAACACTTCTGGAACATCTCTGAAATGCTATGGAGCACTTTTCTCATAATTTCCTTTCACATCTCAAACTGCTTCCCTTTTAGCATGGTTTTCAGATTGGGGAAGAGCCAGAAGTTACACGGTGCCAAGTTTGGAGAGTAGGGAGTCTGTTGAACAAATTGTGTATTGTTCTTGACCAGGAAAGTTAGGATTATGTTGCCGGAATGAGCAGGCACATTTCATTGACACTTTCTGCATACCCAAATCCTCTGTTAAAATGAAATGCAAAGATCCTATTCTCACTTCATGAGCAATTTTCCTATTTGCTGAACCTTCTCAATCAGCTCCTCATTTCGAATTGTGGATGCCTGCCTGAGCATACCTCACTCTCCACTGAAGTATGGCCATATTTAAAACACTCCTTGATCTGAGTTTTACCCATGCATTATTAACAATGACCTGATTGAGTTTGAGCATCACTAAGCTTTTGGCAAAACTTGATGCAATATCTCTTTTCAATGTGTTCAGTCATCTTGCATGGAAATGAAAATCTGACAAGTGTGTACTGCTAGGTATTACACCTAGCAGTACACACTTGTCAGAAATTGATGTGATCTACTGATGTGAAAATTTTTCCTCATGTGGCATTAATTTTGGTCGGAAAAAATAAGGTTTGATACTTTTTGAATGCACATTGTATGTCTTAAAATAATTCTAAAATCTTTGAAACATGTTTTTAATGAACTGAAAAAAGTCCATAAATTTGGCCAAAGTTTTTCAGATGGAATAATTTGAAAAATATTATCAATTATTATTTACAGTCAGACTAATTTTTCAACTTTGTTATTATCACAACATATCAGCAATTGGGGCCTCCAGTCTTTTTCAGGTATCTATCAATCTAGGTAACCTTCAGGTAATTTTAAACTGGACCCTTTATTTAATCTTTATGTGTTCTCATTCCACTGTCCATGTTTTGGGATGTCTAAGGACATGGAGAGCAGAATGAGAACAATCTACCTGCTTGATTAAATAAAGTGTTCAGTTCAAAATTCCTTGAGGTTTAACCAAATCAATAGACATGTGAAGATAGCTGGAGAGCATAACGGCTGAAGCATTGCGATGATAATGACAAAGATTAGTCCTATTGTAAATAATGTAAACAATGATAATTCCTCATCCCAGAAATTCAGACAGATATAAACAATTACCTTTTGTTCATCAGTCACTTCAGCTATCATTTGGGATAGCCTTCTTGGTAAGAAATACTTTGAAAAATCCATTTCATAAGGGACCTGACAAATAAAGCAAGAAATTTAGACAAATCAATGTGATATCACAGTACACATGAAGGTTGGTTAGTCTTGAGTTTCAAAAGTTCTAAAAACAATAAAAGATGAAGTGGCATATGAACATAAATTGTATACTAGGCATCTACAATTCAGCATTAAGCAACAAGGCCACAACCTATTAAATATTTACAAAGACACCTCTTTTTTGAATTTGAAACAGAAGTGACATTCAAAGTAGAAGGTCTGGACAGGTAAAAGATCTCGTAAGATTAAGAAAGCTTTTGCTACTAAAAAAAGAAATATAAAAGCCAGATTTAACTTTGGGGGTAAATACTTATCATGGACTGTACTGGAGGAAGGTTATTTTTAGCCATGAATAAAACAATGAATCTCTATCTATAAAAGGCAGGATATGTGTGTGTGTAACGAATGCACGGCCACAATTTTCGACGGATTTGCACCAAAATTCACATACACATGCTCCAAGTTAGTGGGAAGGCCAAGACTGACTTTGCATTTCCCAACTCTCATTGATAGTGGAAATAATCAATTTTTTCATGCTTCTACAGTAGTTTTCATGTAGTTTGCGGCCATTTTCTACTGGCCAGAGTGAGAGCCTATAGCTGGCTGCCACAAATAGGCAGGAAGATTCTATTGGCCAGCGTGAGAGCCAACAGCTGACTGACACAAATGTTAACTAGCATGCTAGCATGCAAAAAAAAATGATAGCTGCATTTGTCATAAGTAGGAAAAATTTAAATCTGCATGGCACTTTACTCCAATTGGCTCATTTGCTTGCTTAAACTCAACGTTGATTCTGATTCCAAGAGAATTGTTGGGTGAAAAAAAGTATATGTTGTTAACATTCTTTTTCATTCAGTTTTTTTCAGTTACAAGTCCTTTTTTAAAGCTGATCATTTTGTGTTCATTTTGTTTAGTTCTTTTTCGTAACAGATTTAATGTTTAGTATAGAGCTTTGAGATAGGCAAGAAATAAGGCATTAGCAACATCAGTATGGCAAAGGGCACTCCTTTAAAGGCAAGGAAGGGCAAAAATATTTTAAGTCAAGTGATTTTGTGATTTTTGAATCAAGCATGTGCAACGCCGGGCCATGCTGCTAGTATATCTCTAATCGTAGAAACAATAATTTGTTTGCTAAGAATGTGCAAACTTTGCAGTAAAACTTTTTTAAGGTATGGAAATGCACAGTGTGATTTAATGCAGGTCAGATAAATACATTAATCTGCATTGACATTCAAAAGAGTGAAATTTTGCCATTCAAATGTTCACTAATGAACTCAAGAAATTGTATAGCATAATATTTCCTACTATATTACACATTTTGTTCCAAACAGATTTTCTAATAAGTAAATCAACATTCAACTTTTCCAATTTAAAATATAAGAGAAAATATTAGGGAAAAACTTAAGAACACTTTAGATGAAGAACAGAAAGGAAAACCAATGCCTTGTGGTATTTAAGTTGTAGAAAATTCAGTCTGTTTGAAAAATACAAGAACAGCTATCAAGATTCATTTTTATATGAATCAATACCTGAAAGTTTAAAAAAAAAAAGAAAAACATTGCTAACAAAAGACATCATAATTTCTAATACTTTTATTGTCGTTTGTTATATTCTTTTTAAAATATATTTCTGAAACACCTAGTTTTTATGAAATATTTTAAAATTCTACCAAGTTTGGGCAAAAAAAGAACATGGGATGAGGAATTTCTATTTACATTCAGACTATTGCTTCAAAACATTTCGGCCATTGTGCCATCCATCATCATGTTGAGCCTGATTAGTACCTAGATGGGTAACATTTGGGAATACCAGGTGCTGTAGCTTGGGTTAATTAATCAGAGAACCAAGTTTCAATACCCTTTGCGTTTGTTATATTCACTTACATACAAATACCCTTGGGAAAAGTATGAATCTACCGCTTATCCTCCATCTATGGGTTAATTAATAAGACTTATATCACTAAACCATTATTATTTCCAAAACATTTTTACAATGTAAAAATATTTTCTGGCTTTAAATAACTTGCAAAAGGTTGATAATCCATAAAAAATGAATCAATCAAATTTATTATTTGTTGTAACACTTTCCTGATAAGATTGTGTCCACCAATAATAAATCCTTGTAGGATTTCTAGTTCTCTTAGAAGTGTCACACTGTATAGATTAAATAAATTTGGTGAAAATTCATATGTCAATTCTGTTTCAAATTCAAGAGGTGTCTTTGTAAATATTTAACAGGTTATGGTCTTGTTGTTTAGTGCTGAAGTGTTGATGCCCGGTATATAATTTCTGTTCAAATGCCACCTCCCAGAATGACTAATAAAAAAAAAAAGGAAAGTTTCACTGTATTGTTCTTATAAAAAGTGTTGTTCCCATCAGTTGGCTTTGATAAGCAGGGTGATGAAGGTGCCAAATAGCAGAAATAACAATTATCTTCTTCAGGACATTAGGAGAGACATGACTCTCCATAAATTTCTATTAGCGCTTAGCAACATTTGTCCCTTTGCCAAGTCTCCCATTTCCTATTTTGACATCCATTGACACCATGTCAGGTAGGTGGTTAACTATTTTCACCAGTTCCTTTTGATTTTGATATGTTCTGTGAGTATCAAATTCTTCAAGCCCTACTTTCTTATGTATTTAAAAAATTCCAACTGTCTTGTTCTGATTTTGAATTTAAATATCCTTTTTCTTTTCATTTTCTTTTTTTGCTTACCCACTTCATCCATGGTATTCTCAGCATCCTTCTGTAAACCTAAATAACTGTTGCCTCCAGTTTTCTCTTTAGAATAATAATAAGTAAGTAAAGATTAATCTTGAATGTTGATTGGGTAGGCAATTTTTTTACCTGGCAGGTTCAGGTCATCTTGCTAGTAAGGGAACAAAAAAATATTCAAATTCTATATTAATATAACTTACCAAATAAGAATCCATTCCTTCTGGTTCTTGCTTATTCATTCCCAGGCCTTCAGTAGTAATGGAGGGATCTTCATAGATATCAGATTCTAATCAGAATAAAAAGTTGAATTTTAAAATCTCTTAAGCAGGAATTCTATACTGTAATATATATATAATCTTGTGTGTGTATGCATGTATATATATATATATATATATATATATATATACACACACACACACACACACACACACTACCAGTCAAAAGTATTCATTTCTCATTCTAAAAGTGTTATTTTACAGGAATTAAACCAAAAATACTAAAAAAAGTCTTTGAGCCACATTAATTACAAATTAAACAAAAAACACAAAAAAAACTTTTGGCCATTAAATGACACCCATTGGCCACTATCACTGCTTCACAGATTTTTCATTCTTTCCCCCAAAGACTGGAGGTAGACTGAAGATAGTTCTGCCCAGCTTTCTTGCAGAGGTGAGTCGCACTTGTGGGTTGTTTAGCTCTGACTTTTCAGTCACGTTCATCCCACATCAGTTGAAGGACGTGCTGCTCCTATTTGCTTTTAGTGTATCTCTGGCAGAGTTTACTAGTATACTTTGGGTCATTATCTTGCATGAGTACAAATCTTTGACCTACAAGCCACGTTCCAGATGGGATCACGTGATGCTGCAGTATGCTGTGATAGCCGGTCTGATTCAACTTGCCTTTCACCTGGTGCAAATCCCCAACTTTACAAGTGGTAAAAGCCCCCACCCCCACACACCATACCAGAGCCTCCTCCATGCTTTATGGTTGGTGTGATACAGGGGCAGGGGGTTGCAGCTCTTTCACCAATTCTTTGCAGCACATAGGCCCTCCTATTTGACCCAAAGATTTCAAACTTTGATTCATCAGACCAAAAGACTTTATTCCACTGCTCTGTTGTCCAGTCTTTGTGTGCCTTTGACCACTTGAGCCTTTTGACATTGTTTTGATTCCTCAAAAGTGGTTTCTTGACAGAAATTCTGCCATATAGGACAGTTTCACAGAGTGAATGTTGACATTTTTTTCACAACATTGGTTCAGTTGTGCAGTGATGCTTGGAGCAGTCAGCTTTCTGTCACGCAAGCCGGTGACTCTGATGAAATTGTCCTCTGCTTTTGTTGTTGCTTTTGGTCTACCAGCCCTACTATTGGTGTTGTTTTGTCCAGTTTCCTGATGTCTCCTAACAATATAATCCACTGTAGTTCTGGGAATTTTTCTTTTAAATTTCTCTGCTTGAATATCCTTCTGTTTTTTTAAATCACACAGACAATCATATATACAAACACAGAGAATGTGGAAGATAATTTACACTAAAGCTAAATGTGTATAAAAAGGAAAAAAAATTTTAAAAATATAAGCAGTAAATTGGTGATACCTCCTGAAGAGTGGACTAACAAGTTTGTCTACAAAATTCTAGAGTCGGGATGCTGAAGGTAACATCAATCAGCTAAGTGACAAATTTTACTCACATTAATCCTATATATATATATATATATATATATATATATATATGGGGGGGGATGTAGAAATTCAGATATAAAAAAATATATCTGTAAAAAGACAAGACAATTTTGTCAAAATGTAAAGCTGCACCCCAGATTTTTTAAAATATCTCCTTTCCTAAAAGATATACTCTTTTCAAAAAAAACAACATACATGACCATAAGAAAATTAAAAAGAAAATTACTAAATCAAACCTTCTAATATTTAAAATAAATACATACATAAATTACTCAGACTAAAATAAAATAAATAATAATTACTTTAAAATTTTTTTTAATAACAACATTTAATGACTTTCATGTATTAGGGATTATATTACTTAACTTAGCATCTGCCATAGTTAACCTTGACTTTCAGTTAGCCTTAAGAATATTTATGAGCATTCATAAATTTAAAAATTTTCAAAATCTAATATTTTTATTTCTGCTTATAAATACTAGTTGCAAAATAAAATCCTTACATTTTCCTTGATAAAAAGATATATATATATATATATATTGAAATAAACAAACACTAAAATAGTTGTTAAAGTTGTACATTTTAAAAAAGTGCTCAATTTCAAGTAAAAAAAGTGTCAAACCTTTAGAGCGATTTAATATCTTAAAAAGATAAAATGCTGACTGGAACACTATGGTGGTTTTGACTGTGAAGATCTCATCAAGTGGTTTACTCAGCCCTGATGAGACCTTGGTGGTTGAAACTGTGGTAGTGTTCCAGTCAGTGATTATGAGTTCAGTTCTGTGTCCGAGATTATATATATATACATATATATATATATAATGTGTATGTGTGTCTTTCTCTTCATATATTACCAATACCAACCAGAAAGCAAGAATTATGTATATTTGAAATATTGAAATAGTAAATAAAAAAATAATAAGCATGGAACTTTTGTTGGTGTTTTAATCAAACAAATGTATATGTGTGAGTGTGTGTAAATGTGTAAAATTTCAGATAAAATATATTTGTAAAAAGACAATATGAATAAAGACAAAAGGAAAACTTATCTTAGCTGTCATGTTTCATCCTCCAAAGTTAAATGCAATGATTTTATTTTGTAACAAGTATTTAAAGACAAGAGCAAAAATGTTAAATTAAAATTTTTTCAAAAAATAAGAAATGCTCATAGATATTCATCAGGTTAGCTGAAAATTCTAGGTAAGTTATGGAGGATGCTAAGAAATTTAATTTAATGTCTAAGCAAGTAAAAGATGTTCATGAGAGTTTTAAAATAATTTAAATATTAATTTGTATAAAGAATTTCAAGTACATCTTTTACTCACTTTTATTTATTAGACATTAAATTATGTAACTTAGTGTCCTCTATAACTTACCTAGACGTTTCAGCTAACCTGATGGATATTTACAGACACACACATCCACACTGACACAGACACATATATGTGTGTGTATGTCTGTGTGTGTCATTCTCCACTTAAAAAATTTCATACACAGGCATTGCTTGATATCCAAAGATATTTTTGCATGCCATAACCAAAAAAGGAAATCATAAGCCAAAGAAGCACTATAAGGATAGCTTGAAAAAAAATCACTGAACCTTGCAAACATCAGTACAAAATGACTGGGAGTTCCATCCAAATGATCGTAGCATCTAGTGAACGAAAGTTCATAATGGAAAATTTGTTTTTGAGAGTTTTCAGATTGCAAAAGAAAAGCTAAAATGTAGTATCTGAAAAGGTGATAATAGGAAACTTCCTGACCTTATAGGTGACAGGCATGACCTCAACTGTAATATTGACCTTATAGGTGACAGGCATGACCTCAACTGTAATATTTGTGGTTGGTTTTTCTTGATTAAAGCAGGGAAATTATGTCATATGTGAAATCACTATACCAAACCAATGACCAATTAAAAGACGGTGTTTCTGTCCTGCAAATTCATGCAACATTTGTGGAAATGTTTGTAAGTCAGCTGGTGGGATGAAAAGATATGCAAATAGTCACAAAAATCAACATAGTGACAAGATTCATGTGTCTCATGTCTGCTTACTTCGCACCATAGGTTTTAAGAGGGGGTCCAGTTTAAAAAAGCACAATGAAATTTGTTGTGGTTATACTTGACAATGAGGTGACAGCCACCATATATAATATTTTTAGCTATTACTTTTGTTTATATATTATTCTACATTGTATATTTGACATTATGTATTTTTCTTAATCATTGTTAATTTTATATCAAAATAGTCTGTAAATTTAAATAAATCTAAGTATATGAATATCTGTCTATATTTTTCAGATGAGGTATTGTAACTGTTTACACTATTTACATTGTTTGGACTGTTGTCCTCATCTTTAATATCATATTAAGCTATTGTATGCTCCAGCCTCCTTGTAAATTTTTGTAACTTTGTATAATATTTATGCATTACACCCTAATCTTTATTCAGTAAAAAATTCATTGCTAATCATGCATTACTTTTTAAGTAATACACATATTTATGTCTTTGTTGTTTCTGTTCCTTATATTATGGCCACTACTGTATATCTCCTGAAGAAGGCCAGAGCATATAACAGCTGAAATTTTGTAACTATGACAATAAAGATGAGGACAACAGTCTGAATAGTGTAAATAGTAAGTATATGGAGTTTATTAATTAAATTTTTTGTAAGTGTCCAGATACTTCTTTCTCAGCCCTCTCTATATAATGACCATAAGATCTAACCACTGTATTTTAAAACCCAAAGAGAAAAAGATTAATATTAAAATCAATATGTAGCACATTTCAAGTCATTTAAAAGCAAGAATTTTGTATTGTTTTATATATATATAAAAAATACAAGTTTCCAACAAAATTTATATATCCTTACCTTCAGCCGATGAGGTAGCATTTTCAAATGTATCAGGTGTTGAAGGAGAACAAACTGCATGAAAAAACAATGATATCAAAAAGTTGTATATTCTATTTCAAGATTTCAAGATGCACAATCCTCCTCAAGTGTCATGATTCTTCAGGACATTTTTTTATACTAATGTTCACCCAATACAAGGCCCAAGAGCCATTCAGTGTTACTGTGTGGTGTTGTATGCAGGTAAGAAAAAGGCAAGAAAGATAATGGTTAACCTTAGACTTGAAGAAATCAAGATTGTAGTGATCCAGAAAACATCTTACTGGGCGTCTGTTCCACAAAGCAGCAGATCTTGGGAAGAAAAAGAGTGGAACTTATTCCTTACTAATGGAATACGAAGGGAATGCGGATGATTCACTATTGTTTATGTGGCATAGTGGGTCCCATTTGCAAAGGTCAGGGCAGAATGTAGCTCATCATAACACCTAACATGGAAATAGTGATAGAGTAGTGAGAAAATCGTAGGAAATCATGGCTCTCTACAGCTTTCTTTAATATCTATAAATTACTGACTTGTCTTGGGTAAGATAATGGAATGGTGTGCCATTGTTTATGCAGCATAGTGGGTCCGAATTGCAAAGGTCAAGGCAGAATGTAGCTTATTATAACACCTACCATGGAAATAGTGATAGAGTAGCAAGAAAATCATGGCTCTCCACAGCTTTCTTTAATATCTGTAAATTACTATGACATGTCTTGGGAAAGATAGTGTAATAGTGTGCCATTTCTTTTTTCATTACTTGAATTCAGAGTTGTGCTTCTTGACTCGTTCCCTACCAAAAGATAGAGAATCATATCTACCCCACCCTACTAATTTGTCCAAATCAGGAGGGAGAAGGGATAAATTCATGTCTTTTATCAAGTGCATTAAGGCAATGTGAACACAAACCATCCGAGCCAGAATTTGAACTTTGTTCACTTATACCATTTTCTACATTGTTAATCATTAGTCCAGCTGCAGCTTCTATCAAAATACATTTTTATAAAAGAAAAAAATTATGTATTTTTGTCATTTGTTGTAGCTTGAGAAATAAAACCATGGAGAGATAGAAAAAAGATGAAATAACCAATTTTTGTCTTTCATAGGTTTATGGTTCAAATTTTGCTTGTACCATATATTTGTCTGTAGGTATAAAGCAAGCATGAAAAATAGGAAAGAACACTATTTACATTATTCAGACTATTGTCGTCATCTTTGTTGCCATATTTATCACAACGTTTCTGTTGTTGTACTGTCCAGCCTTCTTCAGGTGGTTGGAATGTTGAACTGAACCCTTTATTTCACTTGCTGGGGTAGACTGTTCTAATTCCATGTGCCATGTCTAATGGATGTCAGTTATCAGTTATCTCCTGTTAATTCACCTCTTCAAGTTCTCCACTGTCTTAACCAGGTATTGAACTCACAACTCTTTGTGTCCCGTCACTGGATCTAACCAATGCCTTTATCCACTGTACCATGTGTCCTTTGGCACAATGAGTGAAATAAAGGGTTCAGTTTGACATTCCAATCATCTGAAGAAGGCCAGAGCATACAACAGCTGAAACATTGTGATATATATGGCAACAAATATGACAATAGTCCAAATAATGTAAATAATGTACATAATAACTCATCTCAGAAATATAAACAGATACAATAGGAAATAAATAATAAAATATAATGATCAAATATAGTATAATAATCAGATTATTAAAATGTTATAGAAAATCTAAAAACATCAAAAGCAATCGAACCACTCGTCTTTCTGTGAAAGATTGATTTATTTTTTACAGTTTATCAACCTTTTACAGGTTATTTATGCCAGAAAATATTTTTAGATTGTAAGAAGTTTTGGAGATAATAATGATTTACTGATACAGGTTCTACTAATTAAACCATAGCTTGTGGAAGAAGAGGTGAACTCATACCTTTCCCAAGGGTATATGTGCGTAAGTGAATATAATAAGCAATCACCCATCTGACTACTGACTAGACTTGTCATTGCTCAACTTCGGTAATCATACAGGAACTAGTAATTCAATGTAATATGATTGTAAGCCCATCTGTGAAAGAGCATTTTGTGCTATTTGCAAAAATATAATAACTACACAAGAAATTGTATAGTTGAATTTCAATATTCACCTCTTTTAGCCAATCAATGAACAGCATGTCAATGTCCTTTAACAACAAACTGTCAAACTCATGCACAAACACACACAAAATATATATATATATATATATATATATATAGTCGACTCTCCCGTCGAGATTCGACGTATGAGGGTCAAGCAGATCAGTTTCCAGGAAACCGACAGCCCGACACCGGCGCATGAGACTTGATTATAGTGGTGAAGGTTTTGTGCAGGACCAGCCACACTTTTTGAAGAGATGAATACAGAGACCTGGTGCACTGAATGCCACAAGGTTCCAAACAACCCTCCGCAGGTTTTGAATTCAGAGTTGTCCTTCTCCTAGACCAGTTGCCATCCAAGGCTATAGAACCCAGTCTGTCCTGCTATTTTACCCATATATATATATATATATATATATATATATAACTGGTTACTCTGAGTTTGTAAGCACACCTATTTGCTAGGATGGCTAGAAAATCCAGATCACAGATCAGGCCCATTTGTGTTTGTTCAACACCCACCTTTGTTTTATACACCAACTATATTGAGTGGACTGTAGTTACAGTTTTTGGGAGAGAGCATGTAATCTGCCATGATCAGCAGTTTGAACACTAATCTGTTTGAACCCTTGATCACAATGACTTGTAACTTTGTACTCACACAATCATTAACATTTTCTAAACAGTTCTGCCTACCCAAATTCAATTACAAGGCTTGGGTCAATCCATGGTATGGTTTTCAGGCACTTTCCAAAAGTGCTGAACACCGGGATCACCTCCCACAACTGATAACATCAAGAGGTCAGCTTCTTGACAAATGGGCCGTGGAGAAATTTGAACTCTAATCTCATGGCCTGAAAGTAAAGATTCTACATGTCTATACATATAGTAGGCATATTGAAATCTCTGCTAAAACCTTCAGCAATGTATTGTCATTGGTAATGATACATCAAATTGAAATTACTCATCACCTTTTTGACGTTAATTGAAACTCATCTGTACTCTGTAAACCAACTAAATGTTCAACCAACAAAAGGCCAAAGAGCTACTCAAGGTAGAGTATTACTACATGAGTTTACTGTATGCATGTGGAAGGGAGAAATAAGTGCAGACTATGAGGATACATGGAACAGTTAACAGTTATCTCTAAACTTGAAGAGGTTATGGTTGTAGTGTTCAGGGAAGCATCATCTTGTAGCCTCTTCCACAAACCAGCAGCTCTCAGGAAGAATCTGTCCAAATGGAACTTATAAATGGAATACAAAGGGAATGAGGATGGTTTGCCTCTGTGTATATGGTATGGCAGGTCTTAACTGTAAATGTCTGAACTGGTGCAAATAGGGAATGTAGTTGTAAGAACATTTTCTATGCAAATAGCAACAGATTAGTGAGCAGTTTGTATCATTTTATCTATTTGAGAATGTTTGTAGGGTGGAAAATAACTCATCAACTACAAAGCAATTTAAAAGCTTTTGAACACTATCCAGACTGCAAAGTAAGGCTTAGACAACACCAGCTCAGATATAGCAGCAATCCTCCATTTGATCTGGTCTGATCTCTTGTAAGGATGAAGCAAGTGGAATCAGTTACATTCAGGAACAATAGAAGGAACTGATCATTTTTCCAGTGCTCTGAGTGATAAATTGTATATATGGCTTCCATTTGAGATCTGGAGTGAACTTAGGTCCCAAAAGATGCTTTTATTGTACATTTTGTTTCTGATGACCAGAGCAATATTTTCAAACCCAACTTGATGCAAAAAGCTTCAAAATGAATTGGTTATTTCAATCACCAGTTAATTTCACGCAAGTTTAATTTTTATTACTGCTGCTATGACAGCTCACATACATACTGTTGTAACCTAGGGAAGGTTACTGAATAGAATAGTCAAACAAAGGTTGCTAATGAACAATAATACTTCGAACAAGAACAGCACATATAAGATTCACCAGCAGTGCATAGAAGAAGTAGTTAACTGCTAGAAGTGAGTCAAGTAAATTCTACAATGAATCTCCAACTGCAGACCAACATACAGTATTTACTACTATGTTTATGTGAATGGGGACATACCCATTATCATTCATAGGCATGCTACAACACATTTGTAACTTCTTGCCTACTCCCTCACATGCTAATGAAACAAAGTAAGTCTTTCACATCTATCAGAGTTTACAATCAAATCACAATTAAAAAAACAGTTCTTGTTCAGTCACCAATGTTAAGCATTGTTGAGCTAGGTCGGTGCTTAAATGGGAGATATCTTAGGAAAATTGAGTACTATAAGCAACCTCCTACAATCTGAAATGTGTTTCAGCTTCATATATCCCACAAAGGGTTGATAAGCTGTAAAAAACAAATCAATCACATCTATAAGAATTGTAAAGAGATACGTAGCTGTTAATATTTATATATATATATATATATATATGTACAGGTATACAGACAAAAGAAAATAAGCAGGGTATTTAATCTCAGACGTTTTTAACCTTTTAAATCCATGTTTGCTATATAAATTCTTTTGTTAATACTTTACTATCTTCAATTTTTTTTGCCCATCAATTTCTTATCAAAATATTGAAAGTTTAAACAAGATTCTATAGAAAAGTCTCTTGTATAATAAATCACTAATTGTATTCTTTGTACTTTTATGAACAGGTGAGAAATAGTTTTACTTTAAACTTAAACAACTGACTAATCATATGAACATTTTAGTAAAGTCTGAGAGAGTGCTGAAAAGTTCTTGACCCTGACCTATTTTGCAGATTTATGACCACATTAAAATACCGGTTCCTGTATGATCACCACAGTTAAGCAGCATCAAGCCTAGTAAGTATCTAGTTGGGTGACCATTTGGTTGGATGTGCAGGTGGTGTAATGGATAATAGCTTGGAACTGTTAATCAGAGAGTTGAGCTATTTTCAATTATATGCAAACACCATTGGAAAAGGTATGAATCCACCTATGGGTTAATTAGTAACACATATATGACTAAACTGTTATCTCCAAAAAACAAAAGAACCCTTTCCTATTTAGGATTGGGTTTTCAGTTCCTTCTAAAGTATCCTTCAACTGTATATTTTAACATCTATGACTGAACTCTGAAATGTTATTCACTAACTAAATCTTGATCTCTTCATGTCTAGAGTTAGCCGTTATCTTTCCTGCATAGCCACTGAGAACTTTACTTCTTGCCCTTTCTTACACTCATGCAATACCACACAGTAAGCATCTACCTTGAGTGGCTTTTGGGCCTTGTATTGGGTGAACATTAGTAAAAAAAAAAAAAAAAATCAGAAAAATCAGAAAATTGATTTTGGTAAGTGAATCTTAAATTGTTCAGCATTCTTTTGTAATTGTTTGTAAAAAAAAAAAAAGAAAGAAAGAAAGAAAGAAAAGATTATAGTTACTTATTGTATAGTTCACTTACCTTTTGAATGAGGGATACAAAAAATATGGTTCTGGAAAGACACTAGCAAATCACCAAAGTCATTTAGAAAACAGATAGAACCCAAAGAGTCATCCAGAATTATTTCTCTGATAAGTGTTCCTGATACTTCCCAAATCTTAATGTTGCCATCAGAACTATATTAAGAAGAAAATAATTAAAAATGAGTAAATTAAAATGTCTATTACTTTGTAAGATTTTTAGTAAGGCAAGAATTGCAAGAAATCAAACATCATTTGCAGGGTCTTGTCATTTTTCATGAAGGTGCTGCTCTGAAAAAAAAAGATTGCTTTGTTATGCAGTAAAAAAGAAGATGCCTGTCAAAGAAAATCATATTTTATATGTCATATCTCTTCTGGACATAGGCAATCATCACTCTCCATTTCCTGTCCCATGCAGCTGTAAGTAATGTTTGACTGTTTACCATCACTCTTTGTTCCTACTTTGCAGTCAATTCACTCAAACTCTTTAGGTAGGTTACTCACAGTTACCCACTGTCCCTCTTTCTTTCAATGTCCTGTGAGTATCAAATTTTCCAATCCACCTTTCCTCATAATGTGTTGCAAAGTTTTTTAATTATCTCTTTCTGCTTCTAATTATGAGTGTCTATTTTCTTTAAAACTTCCTCATTGCTCATATGTTTTATCTATGGAATTCTAAGCATCTATCTCTAAATCCATGGAACTGTCATTTTGAGTATTTTTTCTCATCTGTAACAAAATCGTCTTGAATTCACCACTATACGTGGGAATTACTATTTGGATTCATTTAAGTCAATACAGATTGGAAATATTTAAATTTAAAGGTAAAAAATATGGTTGAGTTGTACAAAAGCATTGTAATCAGAATTAATTAGGTTTTTCAAAATTATTTTCATAATACTCCAGAATACTATTTTATAAAGAAATTTATTTGGGATTCATAATCTGGAATGTTTAATCAATAGTTAATATACATGAAAAAAGACCTCCAGATGACTATTTTCAAAATTAAAAAAATATGTTTTTTTTATTAGGACCTTGAATAAGTTCTTGCTGATTTTTCATGAAAAGTAATGTTTTGTTTACAAAAATTAGCAAGAAATATGTCACTGAAAGTATTGTCCATTGCTAGCCACATTTGAATTCTACGTCGGACAAACGACATGTCTTTTGAGGCTAACCACAAGTTGACTCATTTTTTGGCATCTTCATAAGAATGAAAGTGATGCTCAGCCAGGCCATGTGCCATTGAACAGAACAAGTGATAATCGGACTGGTGAATACGTTGGGTGTGGTAGGACTTCCCATTTAAGCATTTCTAAGTAGGTTTTCACCTATTTTGCAGCATGTGTCCTAGTGTTGTCATATTGCAAAATCACTTTGTCGTGTCACTGCTCATATAGCGACTGCTTTTTTCTTCAATGCTCGGTTCAAAAGCATCAGTTGTAGTCAATAGCAATCTCCTGTGATGGTTTTTGTTGGTTTGAGCAGCTCATAATAAACTACACCCAGCTGATCCCACCAAATGCAGAGCAGTAGCTGCGAACCATGGATATTTGGCATTGCTGCTGATATTGATGCATGGTCAGGCTTACCCCACAGTCTTCTAGGCTTAGGGTTATCCACTTTTCATCGCTGGTCATGATATGATGCAAAAAACCCTTTGTTTTTTTGCCATTGAAACAGTGCTCATACATGACAAGATGCCATTCAATGTCTCTTGGCTTCAACTAATACGACACCAAATGTCCTTGCTTTGAATCATTTGTAATGCTTTCAAACATTTCAAAACTGTTGTGTGATCAACTCCTAATGATTCTGCAAGCTCAGCTTGCACCTGACATGAGTATTCATGAATTAATGCCTCCAATTCTTTGTCTTCAAACTTTTTCAGTGCACCAGAGCATTCTTTATCTTCTACATCAAAATCATTATATTTGAAGCATCTAAACCAATCTCTGCATGTTGTTTCCAACAGAGCATGGTCACCATAAGTTTCAACAAGAATTCTGTGTGCTTCAGCTGCAGATTTCTTTTGAATAAAGTAGGGCAGTAAAATTCCCCACAAATACACTTTCTTTAGCATGAAATCTGACATGTTTAATTCTATGAAAAACAAAGTTGTTTACAGTTCAGTGAAATGACATACATTGAATTTCAAGTTTGCTTATAGTACTTTCTTATAAATGTGTTACCATCTGAAACTACACACATGCATTTCTGGGAATGGCATCTGTTAGAAAACAGTGAGAACTTATTCAAGGTCCTAATACATTTTAAGAGATCACATCATATAGGCATATTTCTTTTGACTTCCATAAGATGTTAATTTTATATCAAAATAGTATGTAAATTTAAAGTAAATGTAAGTATGTGAAGTTTATTAATTAAATATATTTTAAGTGTCTAGACACTTCTTTCTCTGCTATTAAGATCCAACCACTGCATTTTGAAATCACATTAACACAAAGAGAAAAAGACTGACTCATACTGAAGACAATGTAGGGCATTTCATGTCATCTACAAGCAAGAATTTTATATCATTTTATATAAGTCTCTAATGTAATAAACATGCAAAATTTATATATTCTAAAGCACATATTAACTTTTATAAAATTTAACAATTTCTTTTATATATTTGTAATGTGCTTAATCTATAGTGATATAAAAAAATATTTTGACATAAATGATTATTTCTGGTCAAAGTGCCTACCAAAACATTTTTTCTCCCATTCAATGAAAACTGTCACACTAGTAAAAAATACCCATGTTGAGATCGGGACATAATTTATAGAAAGATAACTTTGTTTTATTTAGAGTTGATCAAGAGATGGAGAGAGAGAGAGAGAGTGGGGAGACAGGGTGACTTTAAAGAAGAAAAATAATGCTTCAAATGTATGTAGAAAGAGAAAATGCAATCGACCTGAACTGCCACTGTCTTTTCAATGTTTTTCTGACCCATGACCATTCTCTAACCTTCTCTGTGATCCTTCCTCTGAGGGTTTCTGCAGTTCTTCTAATCTTTCCCTGAGCTTGATCACATATGAGATTTTCAATCATTTTTCTTGTCAAGCCCAATTACGATGACATTCTTCATTGTCTCCTTGAATTTTATTAGCCACTTCAAATTCCAAATGAAACTCAGACCACTTAAGAAATTCAAGATTACATATTTCACTTCTTAAAAGGTTGCCCATGCTGACAATGTTTTCTGTTTCAAAAGTTAATAATTTCAATTTGGAAATTACAAATATTTAAAAAGCTCTTTGAAAATAGTAAGAGAAAGACAAGTAGATATTTATTAAGCGTTTTTTGCAACTGCTGTTTCATAGTAAAAGCCACAATTGGAAACATAATTTTTTAAGTTCCTGGGACACATGATGAGGAAAAAGGGCCTGGAGAATCTGATACTCACGGGTTGAATAGAGGGAAGGAGAGACAAGGGAAAACAACGCATGACATACCTAACAGCTTTAAGCAAGTGGATGACAGAGCATGGTCTGGGGGCGGTGGCAGAGGGAAGGAACTTTTTGAGAGCTGCAAGAGATAGAGGGAGGTGGAGAGCCATGATCGCCTACATCCTGAAAGGACATGGCACATAAAAAGAAAGGCAAGCAAACAAGCCCACCTTCTTAAATGATTGGTGCATCACAATCTTGCTATTCCATCCCATTTTACCTTGTGCTAAACTAATGATGGTCATCATAATTATTACACACTCTTAGTCTGACATATAATTTTGTATATTATATCTTCCATACTTACTTTAGTAAAGAATAAAAGTAACAAGTTAAAGCAATTGAAATTACATTGCACAGTGGCTCAGATTGAGGAATTGGAGAGCTGACATCGAATTCCACTCAAATTCATTATATTCATGATGTAATGAATATGGATACAACTGTGTTCCCCCTCACAGGAATATGATTGGCTGGTGTCAGCCATAAATACAGGCTGATGTAGAGGACGACGACACCTACTGGACTACACCATTGGCTATCCTATTGATCTACGCCTATTGCCTACACCTATTGACTGCAACTACGACGAGTACCAGTTCCATTACTGTTACCTGCTAGATTGTTCTACTCGGTTATAGTAGCCTAAACCACTTAGCTACTTCGATCAAATATATCCCTTCCCAGGACATATCAATTCACTTACATGCTAATACTCTTGGAAAAGGTATGAATCCTCTTCTTCTCTCCCCAGGTTTGAGTAAATAGCAGGACAGACCAGTTTCTATAGCCTTGGATGACAACTGGTCTACCACAGAAAGAAATGGCAAGCTACTGTAGGAAAAAATCTGTCTCATTAGTCATATATTGAAAGATATATGATCGCCTAGGCATGTATCATGCATGGCACATAACTGACTGACATTTTTGTAAATTAAGAAGAAAATATAAAATATTTATATTTTACTCTCTTCAATTCTTACTCGCCCACCAATTTTTATATCCTTTAAAAATATTCAAAATGTGGAAGGTTCAAACAAAAATATTCTATAGAAAAAACCCTTGAAGAACAAAAGTATTTGTATATTTTCTGAATAGAGGATAAATATTTACACTGTTTACATCTGGACTATTGTCCTCATCTCTATTGTTGTTTTTATCCACTGGGCCAGTGGATAAAAGTGTTGGGTTGTTAAATAATAGTTTAGCAGACTATTATTTTTTAGAGGAAGTGTATCTCTGCTTGAACTTCCTGAGGTTGACCTTAGGGATCAAATAGAAGACAAAACAAGGAAGTCAATTTTGATTGACTGAATGAGCATGGGAATGATAGAAAGATTTTTCAGTAAGTAGAGTTTTAACTGCCAAACAATATAGATATGGTTACTTTCATGTCTGAAACAGCTTCCCAGTGGATGGAGAGTTAGATATATATATATATCAATGTTAATAAAATAGCTAAGTTAAAATTCCCTGTGTTGAAGTTCTTTTATCTCTGGACTCAAAACAACTAGTGATCACCAGCTGTGAGAGAATAATACAACTTTATTATTAAGCAATAACCGTCACCCCAGACCACCTCCCACCAAGGGGCTATGCAACAGGTTGAATTAATCCAAAAGTGACTTGACCAAAGAATTGTGAGTTCAATATCTGGCCACAGCAGAGGTGAACAAACACATGGAGAGTTGAGTTACTAAAGAGTATTAACTAAAACAGAGATATCCAGGAAAGGTATGGTGTGTGGAACCCCTGTGAACTAAAAAAAAGGTTCAGTTCAAAATTTCAATGTATATAACCTGAAGAAAACCAGAGCATACAAGGGCTGAAACGTTAGGAATATGACAATAAAGATGAGGACAACAGTCTGAACAATGTAAATAGTGTAAATAATTACAATACCTCATCTCAGAAATATAGACATTTGTTGTTGTTATTACAACATTTCAGCTGTTGTGACCGCCCACTGCCCCACTCCTGACCTTCATTAGGTGTATATTGACAGGATTAACCTACAGGGACTTCTGAACAGAACCCCTTATTTTATCTGTGGAGGTAAACTATTCTCGTTCCACTGCCCATGTCCAGGGACATCTCATCTAGTTCTTATTTTTAGTACTGCTCAGTTATTGCTCACCCATTTTCATTGAGTCTGAGTACATACTGTCCAACTCAGGCATTGGACTCAGAATTACTGTCACCAAATTTGTTAACCAATAAAGTGGATTAAAATGTTGGTTATACTAATTTTCACTTAATACAAGGCACAAGAGGTTATAGTCAAAATCGTAAAGATTAAGGTGATTAATGCAGTATTTGATATAAATAGAAGAGAAGGTGGCAAGAAGAGAAAATCATGAATATGAAGAGAAAAATAGGGATTGACCTTGACCTGAAGAAGTCAAGGTTGAAAAGTTCAGGGGAAGAATTTTCTTCTTAGATTTGGAACATGGAAGCAATGTGAAGTATTCAACTAAATGGAAGCAGCATGGCATGTCTTAGCTGTAAAGGTTTGAACTGGTGGAATTAAAGAATGGATTTCATCTGAACATTTGTCATGGAAATAGCAACAGAGTAGCGATAAGCTTTAAACAAAATAAGTCATATCCCACAATCAATATTTCAATGACTAAACTCTTGGGAATTTCACAGGTATCTTTGTAACTGGTTGATTCATTATTAACAAGAAAAAAGTGGAAGCTGCAAAAGAACAAATGAAGATAGTTGGGATAATTGAAAGAGATTTGATTTCATGTGATCTACAAAAGTTCAATCATTTACATGTCCCAGAGTATTGTATATCAGTCATGGGAGACAGAGTTCATTTGGTTTGTGATTTATTTTGTTTCACAGCATATCATTATCAATGGGTTATTTAATGCCGACAAGATTTTAAGGATAGGTTTATATGAATAGAATATGTATTCTTTGTAAGAAATCAGTTTGTAGATCAGGTTTCATTGATGTATTTTTTAAAGAGGGTTTCTATCAACAGTCAAATGTATTGCTGGTAATAATTTTTTCAAAGAAGTATTGCTGGTATTTTTACTATAAAAACCTATTTTTACACTTTCATAGTGTTTTTTACCCCAGTTTGGGGGGGGGGAACTATTTGCCTATAGCTGGGACCCTAACAGGTGCTACCACTCTGGGTCAGCGTGAACCTAGGAACAACAGTAATTATGAGGTAGTTCCAGGTTCCTCAAAAACCTCCTGATCAGAGATCTTGTTGTCAGATGTCAGGTTGAAGTTTGTAGTATAACACAAGGCAACAGTCAAGAGAGATAGCCTCATGGGAGAAAATCAAACATGCATATGCAATTGATAAAATTAAAAAATTTAGATTATTAAGTAAAAATGATATTATTTTCAGTCATTCACAGTACCTTCTTCATAAATCACACAAATCTTTTTTTTATATGTGAGTTGCAGCTTTGTTTTTCTTAGAAATAAAAATTGAGCTGAAAATTCTTAAATGTTTTGCTATTTAGACCAGCATACTCATCTAAGTTGTTATACTCACAATGTTTCAACAATTGTATCCTCTGGCCTTCTTCAGGTGTCTTTCTTTATACTTGGAAACCTCTTTGGAATTTTTAACCAAAGGTAAATTGTTCTCATTCTGCTTTAGCATGGGATGTTTCATACAAGTTTATACTCACTATTCTCATTTACCTTTGTGTCATGTGTCTGTTTTTTTTTTCCCCCACTGAATGTGAATTTTCAATTCTAGCTGAACATGAGATTGAACTCATTGCCAGTGAATCTGATATGCTTTAGCCAATGCTTTAATTCATGAAGGCCGAAGGATACTATGGCTGAAATCTGAATAATATCATTTTTACTTAATAATCTAAATTTTTTAATTTTATTTTTCCGTGTACTTATTGAGCCAATCTTACTCTATGGCTCTGAAACTTGGACTCTCTCAGCAAAACAACAGCGTCGTTTAGATGGATGTTATACACGTCTTTTAAGAAGAGTGCTTAATCTCTCATGGCGAAACCACCCAACTCTAGAAATGATATATGGTGACTTGCCAAGAGTATCAACTTTAGTTTGTAAGAGACGTGTCCAGTTCGCCGGGCATTGTGCACGTGCCACAGATGAACTTGTGTCATCATTTGTACTCTGGAGGCACCCATCATCTGTCAATTGATCATGCAAGTTAACCTTTCCAGATAGGATAAAACATGACACATTTATCCCTAAGGAAGATCTTTTAGGTGCTATGACAGATAGGGAATACTGGAGAAGTGTAGTGAGTTCAATCTCGGCTGAGGCCGCAAGATGATGATGGATGAAATGTAATTATAACCACCAGGATGAACATTTTAGTCTGAATAGCAAAGCATACAATAAAGATTATACCTTATCTAAAAAAAACTTTGACAAAAAATTACACTGAAAATGTTATTTATTTTCATGTTTTCAATGACAGGACCAATAAATAAAAAATATATTCATTTTGATAATTTAAAAAAAATGACAGCTGATATGTCAAATGTTACAATGTAAAAGTGATCCTTTTGAATTCTGTTAATTAAAACTAATTCCATTGAACAACAAAAAACACACATATTTTTTTTTATGCAATATATTCAATGCTTCACGCAAATTTTAATTTAGAAAACTAAATTGAATAATGATTTTCTATCATGACAGAATCATAAAAAGACATTTCTGGGCAGTAAGATAACTTGTGACACAAGAGTCAATCTACAAGGTCTGTTTCGAATGTATTCAGCTATTTTCAATATCCCAAGAACTAACTAACCTTGATGAAGAGCAAGAATTACTGCATGTGTGAACAGAGACGCTCCCATGTGGTTACTCACTCAGAAGGGAGATGCTATTGAGTGAACTTGTGTGTGACAATTGCAGTTACAATAACCAACCAATCAACCAATCATGTCCCATGAAGATTTTTTTTTTTTTTGCAAAATAATCACATTACACATAATTTACATTATTTCCTTATCCCAGAAATTCAGACAGAAACACATCACTCATATCAGACCAGATTTTGCTCCCAATGTTTTCTGGCTTTTCTCAAAGTTAATATTTGCATCAAAATACTGGAAAGATTAAGGAGAATGTGATATAACACCAGGTGGCAATCCTGAAAGTGAACTCTGCAGACTGTTTTGAAAAAAATAGAAGGAACACCACAATAAGTTTGTAAGAGCTCAAAAGGAGTATTTTAAAAGTTACTAAAGGCTTCTTATTTTTTTCTTTTTAATATTACATAGCTAGATACTTTCCAGAAAGACCTTGTATTTCAGGGAATGTAGAAAAGGCTTCATACACATCATAAGTAGGTAGGTAGGTTGGTATCAAATGCGTGCATTTATGCAAAGATTATTTGTTATATCTTGAATACCTTATTAATAAATATATAAAATAATAAATACATTAGTTTGGTACCTACCTACCTACCTACTTATGGTGTGTATATATTATAAGTAATATAAATCTTGCTTTAGATTTGCTACCTGCAAGAAGATAATAAAAGTCTGGAAGGACATGCATCAACGGTGAGTATTTCCGCTTGGTGAGGTGGGGACTTTCTTGGTTTTAAATCTGGTTTAAACTCTGGGTACGCTGTCAAAGAAAAATAAAAAGTTTATTTATAGATAATGAAGATAAATAATTTGTGAAACCAATTATTTAAACCAACTAAAATTTATGAATAATAAAACAAATCTCAACTGATAAAGACTAATAAATAAAAAGATCATAATTGTACAGATTGCAAATCCTTTATCTGAAATTCTTGAGACTGGAAGTACTTTGGTTTTGGGATTTTTTATTTATTTTGGAATACAGGCTATTTAATTTGTATATAGTATTTATAAAATGGGGCAGCTTGGGAATGGAACCTGAGCATAAACACAATATCCTTTACATTTCATAACACAGATTATACATATACCCTGATGGTAGTTTTATATAAGCAGTATATGTTTACTCTGACGCTGACAAATCCACTCAATACATGACTGAGATCATCATTTTTTTCTCTGTGCATTGTTTTCCTATTCTTCATTAATTTCTGTTCATTGCTTTCAGCATAAAACTTTAACAATTTCTCCTTCCGTTTCCTGTCTGGATAGGGTGGTTGTTCCAATGCCAAACTCCTCAGAGTGACACTTCACATTTACACCCCAGTCTAATTTTTCCAACAGTTTCATTTTCTGTGATATTGATAAACATAACTGCTTCCTTTTTTTTTTTTTCACTACCCATATGAATTTTGGTAGGACATTTTGAATAATATCTTTATTGAGCATGAAGTAATATGCAAAGTATATAGTACACTATTTACATTATTCGGACTATTGTCCTCATCTTTGTCACCATGTTTATCACGTTTCAGCCGTTGTACACTCTAGCCTTCAGGTGGTTGGAATGTCGAACTGAACCCTTTATTTCACTCACTGGGGTAGACTGTTCTAGTTCCACGTGCCATGTCTAATAGATGTCAGTTATCTGTTAATTCTCCTCTCAAAGTTTTCCACCGCCTTAACCAAGTATTGAACTCACACTCTTTGGGTCCTGTCACTGGATCTAACTAACACTTTTATCCACTGTGCCATGTGCCCTTGAGGATAAAGGTGTTGTGCTAAACATGGTGACAAAGATGAGGACAATAGTCCAAATAATGTAAATAGTGTACATAATACCTCATCTCAGAGACAGAAATATAGACAGATACTGAAAGTATATAGTGTTGCTGTAACAATTGCAAACAAAAAACTGGCATCAATGTAGGCTACATAGCTAGGCTGGGGAACCCCCACTCAGGGCAGATGGGGTCACTTACAACAGCTGCATATCACCTAGGAACCTTCCCAGTGTTTTTTAAAGTTTTTTATTTGTGGCAAGTTGTTAGCACCTGAAAAACTTTTGAATTTTGGAGATTTTCAGATTCTGGTATTTCAGATAAAGGATGTTCAACCTGTGTTTATTTCAACCAGTTGTTTATAGCATGAGTTGGATTTATATCAGGGATAGGCAAACTTTTTCCATGGAGGGCTCTATCATTGTTGGCCATGTGTAAAGTGGGCCGCATCAGAGTAACAACTGAAGTTTCTCAACGGCAATATAAATAATCATATATATATGCATGTTGTTTGTCCATTTCTGTTTATTAGATGCATTTTGTGAACAAAATGCTGAAAATATGAGAAATTAGTTTAATATTTAATAAATATTCAACTCCAAATTGTTTAAACATCTCACTTCACATGGCCTTTTTTCAAATAAATATGGCTTTCATTTCTCCAAGTCAAATGTCGATGTGTTAACACTTGCTAATGAATTTGTCTCTCAAGCTTAAGATAAGAACAGCAAGGCTCTGGCCGTGGCTTTAGATATCTTGAAGGGCTTGACAGAGTTTTGGTCTACTGGCCTTCTTCACAAGCACAAGAATTAGGGTGTCTCTGGTTGAATATTTGACTTAATTCTTAAATTGTGGTTGTATAATGAATGTTGTTTTGAATGGCCACACTTCTAGAACATTTTACATTAATGCAGAGTCCCCCAGTCCTTGGGCCTACATTGTTTTTTTATCTTTATCAACAACCTTCCTGGTGCTATCAGTTTTCAACTAGGTATCTATGCTGATGACACAACTATTTACTCCAGTATGTCTGGCAAAGCTGTTCTTGAAAATGATGTCCAATCAGTTATTGATTGGAACAAAAAAAATGGCTCAAATTTTAACGCCTCCAAAATGAAACTGCTATCATTTAATCACCCTAGAGAACCATTTTTGCTTTCTGTCAGCATGGCTGATACTAACCTCCAGGAGAACAACTTATTGTGCCTTCTTGGTTTCATGTTTTCTACTGATATGAAGTGGAGTGATTATATTGAATCAACTGATATGTCTTCTGCTAGGAAAGTTGCTTCACTGTCATTCTAAACATTTTTTCTTGTCTATCTTGCACATTTATAAATTTTAACAAATCATCCATGCATTGAATATTGCTGCCATATCTGGTCTGGCACTCTTGTAATATATTTTGTGATTCTCAACAAAATCCAAAGAATATTATTGGTCCTGAGCTGGTATCTCAAATTCAGTTACTTTCCACTACCATGACATGGATTCTCTGTGTCTTTTCTATAAATATTTTTATGGTAATTGTTGTCATGACCTCTCCTTCTTAGTACTTTGACTGTAAGAATTCAATCATACTATTAGATTGGCTTTTAGGCCTCAATGTTTTACTGTTGAATTAGTTAAATGTAGCTATAAGTTTTATTCTAATAGTTTCTTTTCTTGCACCCCATCTGTGCAACTCTTCTGATTTTTTGTTTCCTTGCTAACTAGAATCTTCAAAAATTTAAATGTGACATCAACTGCTTTTTTTTCTAACCATTAATTTTGTTCTTTCATTGTCCTTTCCCCTCACTAAATTCTTCTAGTTTTCTTTCACTCTTATTAACCCCTGGTATTTTAGTGGCATTATCACTTTGCTTGGAGAGAAAAAAAAAACAATACATGTTCATTACTATTAATGGGATGTGTGCAGCTCAAAAAAATCTCTTTTACAAATTTTTCATAGTCAGGATTCATTTTACTCACTGATATATGCATAACAGCATGTCAAATGTGTTATCTGAGATCTATTTTTTTTATTTGTCAATGTTGATACATAAAAATGTATGTTGAATGAAAGAATAAGCAAAATTTCTTGGCAAAATTAAGATTGCTAAATTCATTGATATTAAATGCTGAATAAAATCATGTTAGTTTGGAGTTCAGAAAATATACATTCAGGGTGTTGCCCCTTTGAAAATCTATCAACTGCAGTTGTAGATCATCTGCTGCTGTTTCCATATTTGTTGGAATACACACAGGAACCTCAATCCCTATCTCTGGGCAGTGACATTGGCACAGTGTGGGTCATAACAATCTATGTGTTTCTTGCAGCACATAATGCAATTTTGTAGGAAGTGAGGAATGAGGTTTGCTATTAAATATATAATTTCTTCTCTTTCTTACTGTTTTGATTATTATTTTTTACAAAATGTAATAAAAGAAAATTTCTTTATAAAATAAATATTCATAAAGTTAGTTGTGCTCTTGAGGAATGTACAGAATCATCGGATAGACTTGCATAATTTGCCTACCCCTGATTGATATAAGTATTATTTACTAAATAAAACTACATCAAAATGTCTATTCATTCTAATGGTTAAATAATACAGAGTGGGTCAAAACTAGTGCCAAATTTCTGGGTGTTGGGTATGAAAAATTTGTTTTCAAATAGAGATTATTCACATGATGTTAGGTGGCCTCTCATTAGTTAATAAAACCATATGGGTTCAGAAAAAGCTGACCACTAGCAGAGAAAGGACCGGACATGCTCCAAAGTAATGCAGAAGAAATCCTCTCCACCACCAATGATATGAGTTGCTGAGGGTTTTAAAGGTACAAGCTATCTACCCCTTTTTCACTCCACCAGATGGGTAATTCTGCCTGACATTTTCTATATATAGGAAAGGACATTGTATTTATGTTAACCATTGTATTCATATGTTAATAAATACCTTTATAACATGTTGATAAAGTATTTTTTTTATTCGTGTCAGTCCCAAAGTAAAGTAGGATTAGCCTAATATGGGAAGTCATGTTAATATTTGTCTTGCAAATTATTAATTTTCTTAGTTCTTTTTTTTTTAATCAATGGATGAAAACTCTCCTCAGAAAGCAGATTCAAGACCACAATCAAATTGAGTGGTTGACACATTTCCCCAGGCTTCACACCTCTAGATTTCTTTCTTTAGAGGCTCATGAAAGACCTTGTTTATCGTGTTAAAACCACATACCATTCAGAAATTAAAGGTTCAAATCACTGCAAAATTTGAGGAAACTGACATCAAACTCTTCAAGCATGTGTGCTACACCATGCCTGCTCAACTGTAATTGTGCATTTGGGAGGACACTTTGAATAATACAAGTAAAACAGCTTGGAAGAGTCCCTTAATAATTTTTCACCTGAATAAATGGTAAGATAAACATGTCTTTCATTGATTTCTGCCTTCTTTTAAACTATTATATAAATGGAAAACAATCACCAGACAGCTGTAATTTGGAACTTCAGAGCATTTGGCAATCATGGCTCTCCACAATTTATCCTACATAACTCTTGATAAATTTTGTCTTTTTGTTATCTCTCTTAAATCTTGTTCTGCCATCCACTTACTCAAGCTTGCTGGGTAGGTTATACGTTATTTTTCTCTGTCCCTTTTGCCTTCAATCAGTCCTGTGAGCATCAGACTTTTCAAGCCCTCTTTCCTCATTATAAGCCCTATAAATTTCACCTATCTCATCCTCATGTTAAGTATAAGTATCCTTTTTGTTTCCATTTTCTCTAAAACTGTCATTGCTCACATATTCATTCCCTGTTCAGTGTTCTCAGCATCTTTCTGTAGAGCCACATTAATGCTACTTGAAATCTCTTCTTCGTCTGTGTGGAGATTTTCCAGCATTCACTGCCATATAGAAGGACTGATATTACATAACAGTTCAGTATTCTTTTTTTGTTTCTAACAAAATTTTTGTTTGTTAATACTTTGTTTAGCTTTTG